ATATGTACAAGACATAGGGTACTAAAAGTTGGATAGACTCCTAGTCTCCTTTGAGGCAACATGGAGAAGGGGTCATGAGTATAAGTTCCAGAACCAGACTGCCTGGGGTGGAATCCTAGCCCACGTTGGATCATCTGTTAAAATAAGACATAATGGTACCTACCTCACAGGGTCATTATGAGAATCAAATGTGTTAATACATATAAACTGCTTACAGTAGTGCTAGACACATAAATATTCAGTGTTAGATATTATTATTTTATTGTATTATATTCTATTATTATTCACCTGTATTTTATTATTACACTCCTCTACAAATCTATTTAACATTCTTTCCCTATATCTCTATATTACACCCCTCAATTTAGTAATGAAGGGGCAGCTTGGTGGGAAACACTCGTGTGTGTATGTGTGTGCATGTTTCAATTCTTCAGAGATAGCCTTAAAATAAGTAAGTATGGAGGGTGTCTTAGGTCCCTCTCACTGCTCCAACAAATTACCACAAACTTACTGGCTTAAAACAGCAGAAATTTACTATCATGGAGCTCTAAAAAGTTATCAGTGCTGCATTCGTTCTGGATGCTACAGTGGAGAACCATTCCTTCCCCCCTCCAGCTTCTCGAGGCTGCACACCTCCCTTGGCTTGTGGTTGCCTCACTCCAACCTCTGCTTCCTGTGCTTCTGTGGTTGTATCTCCTTCTCTGTTTCTAACCCTCCTGCTCCCTTCCCCTTAAAAGAATGCTTGTGATTACATAAGACCACCCAAATAATTCAGGATAATCTCCTGATCCTAAATTTCAAGATCCTAAATCAGATTTGCAAAGTCCCCTTTTTCCAAATAAGGTAACATATTCACAGGATCAGGGGATAGGAAGCGGATATCTTTAGGGAGGCATTATTCCACTACAACAATGGGAAAGGCACTGGATGATCTCTTGAGATCATTCAAGCCAGTGATACCTAGTTGGAGGTGATTCTACTGCCCCAAGGGGACCATAGCAATGTCTGGAGACATTTTTTGTTGTCTCGAGTTGGGAGGGGAATGGTACTAGACATCTAGTGGGTAAAAGGCCAGGGATGCCGCTAAACATCCTACAATGCACGGGACAGCCCCTTCCCCCAACAAAGAATTATCCGGGCCAAAATGTCAACAGTGATAAAGTTGAGAAGCCCTGATTTAAAGCACGTCATTCCTTGAAATCTTCTGAGTTAGTAAGGTTGCAGTGCCCAGGAAGCCAGTTTCAGGATTTAGATTTACATGGAGAAGTTTGAGGAATCACAAGCAAGCTCTCTAACTCCATATTTTTGACAATCTTATAGGGTAAATAAGAGATGAATAATATTACTCATGCTTTAATAGTAGGGTTTTGAACACTGCCTTAACTTGTTATTTGTTAAGTAGTGTTTGTTTTATTTTAGGTTTGGTGTAATCTTTCAAACTGATACATTTCATACACAGGCAAATTATCTTTAAGTATGTATTATAAACATCATTTGTGTATATTACAAATATTTAAATTTACAGATGCTCAGATTTAAAGTACCTAACACCAAATACATTTCAAGATGCTCCACAGCCTTCTATAATATTTCATTTTTGCCTCAGTATGACTTGACTTCTATCCCTTGACTTCAAAGAATCAAAGAGTTTTTGTTTTTGTTTTCCCCTGGCTTGTAATTTATTTATTTATTTATTTATTTATTTATTAAGTTAACTCCACCCCCAATGTGGAGCTCGAACTCACAACCCCAAGATCAAGAGTCGCATGTTCTACCGACTGAGCCAGCCAGGCACCCCCTCGTTTGTAATTTAAATGTGTCCGGTGATCCTTCTGAGTGGCTCAGAGAGCAATAGGCAAATAGACAGTCTATATGTGAGCTCTTGTGGTGATTTCCCATCAGGTCATTCATATTCAGTTTACAGGGCTGGTTAGGCTGCTAGGAATCTTGTAAGCAAGGTATCAGGCTATTTTTCCAAGAGCTTTATTGGCTCCATAAAGTCAACTGTAGCTCCTTTAACAATGTCTGGTCATACCTGAGTCTATGCATGTTTCTCTCAAATGTGACATTTCAGTCAAAACCTGGGCATCATGACCAATGTTTCCAATTATGTCCCCGTCAGCCCTTTGCGGACAGCTGGGTCTCTGGGAGCCTGTGCAGCTCAATGATCACTTGCCATGACATCCTTATCTACCCAGAGAAAGATTTAAGTTAGAACCAACTTTCACTGAAAATAAGCACCTTGTCTAGCAATACCTACGTTTCCAATTCTCAAGGATTTCTGTGCTTAGGTGTGAATTCTCCCAGTCTTTTGAAGTCATCTAGGATTGTCAGTGGGAGACTTTATATTCTTTTCAACATCCTTTTATCCTGTCTCCCTCTTCCTTTCCATCTATGGGACTCTGCTCATTCCCTTTCTTTCATACTTTCTTCTGCCCAACCATTCCCCTAGAATTTTGTTAATTTGCAGCAACTTCTAGAAACAGTAGTTGTATCTTCTATAGCAGAAAAGGTTTACTAACCAGCAGGGGACTGTGGGTGTGTGAGCAGGCATGGGTGTGAATACTGTATCCATGAGAGTGAGTTTCATCTTTATTTTGTCTCCCAGGAAGTATCGGAAACATCAAAGTATTCTAACAGCTTGTAAACAAACAGAGCTGAAGAAAAACAGAGTTACTCAGCAACTTTGTTTACCACTGACACTATTTCTATAGTATACATTTCTCTGCCAAGAAAGAGTTTTGCAAGTGTTTTACATTTGGTATGATTTCTAACCTACAATTAAAGGATACATGTCACTATTAAAAAAAGCCAGAGCCTCACCCCTAAGCAGTAAGTCACATCTGAGATTCCAGATTCCAGGTATCACATTGCTAATTGGGGTAGGTACCACTAGAGGAACCTACTTTGATCTCTACGCCTAACTAGGGAAAGGATTCCGTTTCTTCAAAAACAAAATAAAAAAGAAAGAGAACAACGGAGTGAGAAAGAGAGAAAGTGCGAGAGAGAATCTATAGACTAAGAGATTTAAAAAACATGTCAAGTGTATTAAGGACAGAGAAACTTGGAGACGATTAGAGGTTGATACGTAAGCAGGAGTTTCTTGAAACAGGATAGGTCATGAGCATATAATAAGAGCAGCAGGTAGAGAGAAAAGTGGGGCAGGGTTTGGGGGAGGAGCAAATGGTAACTTTGACAACTTGGGCCCCTACCGATTCTGGCACAGTGACCCTGGACGTCTCCCAGCCAGGGTATCTGTGCAGCCATTTCCTGGGGAATAAAGAATCTGCTCTTGTTCTGGGAAAGTCCTTGGATGGGTAAGTCTCTGTTAGTATGTTGAGCAGCCAATGGCTGATGTCCCAATCAGGCCTCCCTCTAGCCACCCATATCATGTCTTAGGTGTCCTGCCGGTGCACATGAGGTCCAGAACGACTATAGCAATGAAAATATCAAAAAACAATACAGAAAAACGAAGGGCAAACATTCAGATCATTAGACTATCACCTAAAATCCCGAGATATTTTCTTATCATTATTTTGCAAAGGTCAATGAATAGCAAAAACCCAGATAAAACCATCTAAATGGTTCAAATGGTTCAAAATCATTTGGGACAGGTTATTTCTTGAAAGAAATGTAAACATTCGGAAGGAGGTTTAGAATCTCCTGCCAAAGGAGACAAGAGGTAAATACCGTGTTCATATCCTAGGGTGTTGTGCTCAGCTGTGACCTTTCTTCTTGTCAAAATGTTCTCTTTTGCACTACACTCTAATTGATGTGACATCTTACAACTCCACACACTTCCTCTGTTCCCTTCTCTGACTTTTCTTTTCCTTCCACTCTAATTCTTGGTGTCTTCTTAAGTTTGGCCCTTATAGCTCATCTCCGTTTTGGGAACTCAAATACTCCCAAGGCTTCACCTATCACCCCTGGACAGATCCTAAATGCACTGCATGAGAGATCTTCTTACGCTCCGTCTCTACTTTTCTGCTGTCTCTCCCCACTTGCATGTAACCCCTGGCTCAGACACCACATGTCCAAATCCATATTAATCACATCTCTCCCTAAAACAAACTTACCTCCTAACTTCTCTATTTCTGTGCGCATTGCCACCATTCTCCTGAGTCCTTAGGTTTTCAAATTTGGCCTCATTTTCAAATCCTTCACGTCCTTCATTGAGTAAGTCCGTTCCACTGAGCCATCCCTTTCTCCCTTCATGTTGTCACGTAGCTCTCTCATCCCACCGCAGGCTGGCTCTTCAATGCATACCTGCATTACAGCGGCCCCCACCGGCCCACCCTCTCTGGCTCAGGGCTTTGCACTCAACCCACCCAACCCGGCAGTCCTGGGATCATCGTTCAGCCTTTGCCTTAGTGAGTGATCTCTTCTGTAAAATAGCCATTTCTCCTTCACTACAACATCAAGGCTAACGCATGGATTTTCAAAGCCCTCTACAACGTGTCCCTATTTATCAAGCCTACACATTCACCGCTTCTCAACATGACTTACTCCTGCTGTTCTTTCTCGCTCTATGGCATTCCCTCTTCTGTACCTCCACTTCCAAACCCTAGCCCTGTTTCAAGGTCCCTCCCAAATCTTCACTTCTCCATCCATCTTTACAGACTACATTTCACCCTCTCCTTAGTTCTTACCCCTCTCGTGACCTGCATCGAGAAAGTAACATAATGATACGAGGCTCACCATTTCAGTGTGTTGATTTTCTTTCTCCAACTACATGGCAAGCTCCATAAAGCTAGAGATATAGTTCTCTATCACCCTACTAAACACTCCAGGTATGAAAAGACTGAATTCTTTTTTAGAATAAACTAGCTAATTAATCTACTACTTTAATACATTTAGATTTTCCTCGACTATAAATAAATGAGGTATAAGGAATAAAAGTATAAACAAAGAAAATGTAGGGATGGTTGCCTATTAGCATTTGATTTTTAAATGTTATACATTACTTGTAAAACTATTAAATTTAAAAACCATCTTCTTACCTGATTTTATGCAGTCTGACGACTTACAAATACCATCTGGAAAAAGAAGGTTATATGTGTAAATATTTGCAGTACAGTCTTCTAATTTCTCCCTATCATTTGTTCTTTTAAAAACTGTCAACTAAATAATCAATTCCTTAAAGGAAGAGCTAAAACCTGAGTATTTTATATCATTGTCAAAAGCTAGAAAAAACATACAGAAATAAAATAGGCAAATCCTAAATTTAAATTTTTTATTATCAAGAAAGCAGTGCATTCAACAGTATCATCTCTACCCACTAAGGTCTATTAAATTGAAATAATCAGTCGTTTTAGTCTGGTAATTTTTTTTTTCCTATTAAGGAACCAATCTTTTCTAATCCGTATCGTGAAAAACTTCCAAGACTTAAATTAGACCTCTTAGGTCCTGTGGAGCCTTTTAGAATTTCAATGACACAACAAATTTCACTAACTGAGGATGGCCATAAAATTGTGTACACTTTAATCAAATAAGATTATACATTAGAATCCTAATAAAATAAGCATGAGTGCACTAAATACACTTGGCAATTAATAACTTGGCTGAAACATAAAAGACATTGTACTTTAGTCCGAGTTAACTGTTTTGACATACTGATGCTACATTTTATAAAGGAATCTTTATGCCACCATCCTGAAGCGTCCCTCTCCTTAACACATTTGTTTGGCAGATGAAAAAAGCATAAGATGAAGATTCCACTCTCCTGTGCATGGATGTGTGCACAGGTGTGGGAGTACCTCACCATCATAGGTCGCATAGAGTGCGATCATCGTCACAGCGATGACGGTAAGGAGGAGGACAAAGACAGACAGACTGATCTCCAGTGGGGTCCATCGTTGTCTCTTTGGCCTTGGAGTGCTGATATCAGTTATATCCATCTGACTTTCTGATCTGCCCATCACCTAAAATCTATAAAAATTTTTTTAAAGTCTTTAAGTACTAATAACAAATTAATAAAGAGAGAATAAGAAGAGGAAATGTATGTACAATTTTCCAAATGCTTAATGCAGCTAAATAAAAGTAACAGGTTAATTCATTTTAAATAGAAATAAATTGTAGTTGTTGTTGAAAGTCAGAATTTTGATTCTGAAAACAAAGAGTAGAGAGCCAATGAATCTGACATAGGTCACAATCTTTCTTTCTTCCTTCTTTTCTTTTTTTCTCTCTCTCTCTCTCCCTCTCTCTCTCTCTTCCCTTCTTTTTTGATATATCACTGAAGATCCAAACAAAATTAGACAAGAAGACTCGGGTAATACTCACATAGGATTCCTTTGGCAGTTCATAAGCAAATAACTGATGCACCATCATACAGCAAAGTTTTAAACTCACCCTTCTGAACTTTGGACAACGTCAAAGGTGAATTTTATATCTTGTACCAGTGGCTTCCTTTATAAGCATGGAAATCAATGACTAAATACTTCGAGGTTTTGACTAAGCAATAATTTGAAACACTAATACCGATAAAAACAAAGAGAAAACACTTGTGATGGTTAATCTTTAGTCTTAAAAACAACTTTTATTTTTACAGTTCAAAATTACAGCTACTGCTGATGTGGGTATATATTAACTGGTTAGACAACATTCTGAAAATGGTCACTCACTAAGTCAAAAGTCAGTGGTTTACACCCAAGGATGAAAGATACTAACCCTAATGTTTCTTGTGCAATTGAAGAAGGAAAAAATATATGATTAAAAAAAATTCTACCCTGCAGGTCAGGATAACAATTGTTAAGATACTTATTTAATTTGTATTTAAATTAATATTAATTCTTCTACTAATACTAGCTGATATTTATTGAGTACCTCCCATGTGTCAGTCACTAGTTCTTAGTGCTTTACACGTACTAATTGATTTCATCTTTGTAAGGTGGGCATTAATATTCCAATTCTGTACTTGAGGAAACTGGGGCACAGAAAATTCAGGTAATTTGCCGAACTACACAACTAGTAAATGTCCTTTAAAAAGAACACATTTGGTCACTGCTAGAAATAAAAATATATCATATCACAATAAAAGCTATTTTAGATCTTATTGCAGAAGTTTTGGGGAGGGGAAGGGAAATCGTGGGGATGTAAGCTTAAATATTAAATTTCATTATGTTTCTTTTAGAGGCCTCATGAGTTTTTATCGACCATCCACCAAAACTCAGACTTCAATTTTTCTGCATGACTGTAGAAAAGAGCATCGTAAACTAACAGACTAGCTGTTTATAGCTTGATACAAATTAAGCATACAATTTAGTTCCTAGATGAAGCGACTGCTCAGAAATACTCTTAAAGATCTTTGTTGAATACCCACAATTCCCTGAGAGTGTGTTTTGTGGAAACTGAGGCACAGGATAAAGTCGAAATGGAGTCTATATTTGAAGTGTGGCCTGAGAGATCTCGCTGATAACTAGGAATTTAATCTCCCCAGTGAGTTATTAATAAGTGAGCGACAACTGGACTTTAGACTTCTGGATACAAAGTCTTAAGCATGCTGTTCTCTTGATTACACGAGACTATAACCAAGGACAGACTATCAAATAAAAATATTTTATTAGACCATGAAAACTGTGTCTGCTCAATAAAAGTAGAATGTAATGTACCTGAATGTTAAAATGTCTTACTTAATGGTTATGTAACTCATGTTGGCTTAGTCTCACAGCCCCTGAGGTTATGATATGGAATTGCACTGATCATGGTCCTTGGAGTTTTAATAGGGATGGTGATTGGGGAAAGAAAAGATGGAACCGAATTTAGTACTTGGACACTGTATTTTCCCAGTTTCCCCAGAAGAATTCAAGAGCGACCTAAAGAGCATCTGAATATTAATCACATTTACCTTTCTGGAGCATTTGTCCTCCTGCTCTAATGTTTCAGAAGACAATCTAGAGAAAAGCATTTCTGAAATAATAAGACCCGCTTCTCTTTTTAGTTCTTAGAAACAACAATCAGTTTGTCTAGAGCTAGGAATCAGGGCAGCCACAGGGTTAAATTAAAGGTGCTCTTTGGCACCACCAGGCTTCCAACTAGCAAGAAAACTAGTAGGCAGGCATGTCTTTCTTTCTCGCTGCTGGGTGACTTTTTCCTCACTTCTCCTCCTTGCCCTTGAGATGGGGGTACAGAGGCAGCTGGGTTCTCAATAGCTGTGTCCCTAAGCCTGCAGAAACTGTTATAGGGAAATAAAGGCAGTGACTAAAGCTGTTAGTTCTTTTGCTGGCATCAAAAGGATATCATCTTTGAATCACCTGCAAACTCCCCATCTGCCCCTCTTGTAAATGCTCTGCAAAATTTTAGTCTTTTGCTCCTAAGTAGCACTTTTGAACAACACTGAGCAAAAACAGAAATGATGCCAGTGTAACTTCCTAGTTAACTTTGTCACTCATGTCCAGATACCTGTGGTGGATTCACTATTTTCTTGTAAGAAAACAGGGGTCAGAATCTCGAACATCAGGATGGAACATATCACCAACTCCCAGCCACTGGAATATCCACCTCAACCACACCTAACCCCATTTTAGGGAAGGCAGAGAAGGGAGCAATTACACAAAAGAATACAAAAAAATAAATAAATAAAGTTGGTACTTACAGTTCCATACAAGGTAAAACGCCATAAAAAATGCCTAACACGTTTAAAATGCTGCATCTCAATTTAGAGGTATGGTCAGAAAAGCTTAAACCGAAAAGTAGACACTTCCACAGGAGAGGACAGAGTTCTAGAAGCTCTAACCCAACAAGAAATCTGTGAACTTCAGCTTAACAACATCACCAAAAGAATAAATGATTATTTGGCTTAAGTAGAAACCGCATTTCAAAGCAATATAACGCAGCAATTCTTACACCAGTTGAGAATAGGCATCACTTCACGATAGAGTCAAATCAAAGACCCTACAGGATAACCGTTTTTGTTAAAGGGAAGTCTATAAACCAAAGCGATTTTCATCTTCACAGCACTTGACCACTTTTAGCATTTCTGCAAGCCCCTGAGGGTACACTACGGAAACAGTTTGTATTAGGGAAACTGAGGCACAGGAAGCAGGAGAAACAGGTTCCATATTTAGGCTGTGGCTGCAGAAGCTGAGGAGGCAGGTATTCAAGAGAAATCAGCTCCCCTTTTTGCCAGGACATTAATTTTTAGGTGTTCCCCGGGCCTGGGATATGGAGTTCTGGACACAAAGTACCAAGCACATCACTCCCATAGGCAGTGTAGCTATTTAATAAAAGTCACAGCATCGAGTTCAAGAAAGTATCGGACAAATTTCTGTATGTGCTGGAACCCAGAAATAATGCAAGAGAGTGAAGACGCTGCAAGCCTTCAAAGCCGTTCTGCCGATTAGCAGGTTCTAAATGCTGACACTGCAAGTCAGGTACTACTTTTCAGTTTAATAAAATTAGCACTTGCATGACCTATGGGGGAGGAACAGACTCAATCTTAAGTGGCTAAAGAGGAACGTTTGGCTGCAATTACCCTCGTTTCCAAATAATACAAATAGAGTGAGACCGATTAGGTAAGGAAACTTTCATCTACATAAGAACTCCCCTCTACTCCCGCCAACCAACCCTCCGTGATTCAAGCACGCTATCAGCATAAATTATATAATAGGAAACTAAGGTTAAGGCAAGATGAAGAGGTGGGATAAAGAAATGATCTTCAGGTTAGGAAAAGTAAAAACAGAAAAGTGAGTTCCAAATGAGGAGAGAATCTGATAGAGACCAAAATGAAAACAAACCTTGCTTTAAAGGAAAAAAAAAATCAGTGTGCAGCGGAATGGCAAATTCCCAGCCCCCAAATCAGTCCCCCTGCAATTCGGTAGCGCTGATGTCGGCAACCAAACCTAACTCCCCGAGGCAGAGGCTGCAGGGAGCTGTGGCAAGGAACCTGAGGAGTCGACCCGACATCACTAGCAGAGCCCTCCTCCCAGGTCACCCTCTCTGCCCCTTCCCCTCACTCTTCAGGTCCTAGTTGTGGCTCCTTCCTAGGGCACGCCTCCCTCGCCCACGGCCGCAGGGTCCCGGGCGCTCGGTAGCGCCGGACCCGACCCGCCGTCCCTGCTCCGCGCGCCTCCCGGGCAGCCGCTCCCCTCGGTCGGCTGTGCCCGCCCCGTGCCCGTCCCATCGGCTCCCACCGCCCGCGCTCTCGCGCCCTTCGGACCCTTCTCCCCAGCTGCCAGGTGCTGGCTCGCTCTCCCGGGACTCACCAGTGGGATTCGGGAGAAGTTGGAGGCTGCTGAGCAGACACATCCCGACCAATGAGCGCGCGGGGCCGGGCGTGGGGAGCCCCGCCGAGCGCCGGTCGGTCGGTGCGTCCGCCCCAGCGCGCCCCGAGCGGCGCGGGCTCCGGGCTGCAGGCGGCGGAGCCGAGCCAAGGCCGGACTCCGGGAAGGTTCCGGGTCCCGCGGCGGCCGGGGACCGGGGGGGAGGCGGGGAGCGAAGGGGAACCGGGCATCCCTCGGACCCGCACCCGGAGAGACTCACCGTGGCCTCTCAGCAGATCCCGCGCCGGGAGTTGGGTGGCTGCTCCCGCCTGCGCTCGGTCAAGCTTCGCCACTTGCACATCTCCGCGCCCCGCGCGTCTCGGCGCCCTCACCGCCCACCCCCCCCCCCCCCCCCCCCCCCCCCCCGCCTCACCGCCGCAGGACGAGCGTGAGGAGCAGTTCCCCGGGTGACCTGAAGGTTTCCGCTAGGTCTCCCGAACCCTGTCACATCTTGTGTGGGGGCCGGGTGTGCGAGTGTGCGAGAAAGCACCCACCCCCTCTCCACCTCACCCTTCCCAAAAGGGCTTTGCCAAATATTCTTGGAATTGCTTAGCTTCGGGGCTTTCAAGAAAACAGTACATTGCCTCTACGAGATTGTGTAGTGCTGATGAAGGTTCCGTTGCTCTCCCTAGTCAACCTGAGACAAAAATGATTCTCTTCTCATATTCTTCTTCTTTCGCTCCCTTTCTCGCTCCTTTTCCTCCCTCCATCCAAGCTTCCTTCCTTTCTCATTGTTTAGGTTCTCTCCCTTCCCCTTTTTTTGTTTTCTTTCTGTCTTTCTTTTCTTTCATTGCCCCCTCTCTCCCTTTTCGTTCTTCCTGTCTTTCTCCTCCTCTCTTTGCTTTCCCTCTCTTCCTTTCTTTTTCTTGGTCAGACCAAAATGATGTCAAGAGCTATATTCTATACTGAAACTCCCCACTCCCACCTCCTGACTCTTGGGAATCTAGTGATGTGTATATCTGAAGTTGGGGATGGGGAGTGAGAGAGTCACAGGAAAAATAGGCTAAGGTGTGTCTGCTCTACCTACTAAATAAAATTAGTTATGTGTTCTGGACCCTTGTCATTTTAATGGAGCCAAGCAGCACACCATTTTCATATAAGACATGCGACTCCTTCTCAGGGAAGTTTTAAGAAAAAGAAAATACTTTTTGTACGGAGGCGATTCCTTTATAAAAGCTGCCTTTAGCAGCTGTAAGTGTCAGGGAGCTCAGAAGAACTAGACCTTCCCTATTGGTTATGTTGTTGTTTTGCTTACATAATTTTTAGTTCAGTTATTCAATGCCAAGCACATATGAGTAGCTTTCAGAGTGATCCCTTTCCTTTTTCGAACATGTCAATTGCAAACACAGAGACCCGCGCACACACACACACACACACACACACCCTGGGGAAGTCATACTGAAATACAGGTGACTTTTCCTGAACTTGCAATTATCTGTTTTCAACATCAAGCGACTGACAGATTTTACATTCTTTACATGCTAGAGCTGAAAGGCAAGGAGAAAAAGTGATACTTGCTAGTGAAATAGTAAATGGAATACAATGGAGAGACTTTTTTCAAAAGTTAAAGCAATCATTAAATAACTGGACTAATATAGATAAATCTAATATACAGCCTTCAAGAGTACTCTCTCCATGTCTCTATGCTTTACTCTCTCTTGGTGCATGTGGTAGACGCCACTTAATCCTCACGCAACCCTAAAATACAGACTTTAATTGCCCTACAAATGAGCATAAGGAGCTTGCTAAGTTAAAACCATCCGGAACTGTTTCAACTGGAATGTGAACTGTTGAAGCCAGTTCATTCTCTCTCTCTTTTTTTTAAGATTTTATTTTTGAGTAATCTCTATACCCAACGTGGGGCTTGAACTTACAAACCCCAAGATCAAGAGTCCTGTGCTCTACCGGCTGAGTCAGCCAGGTGCCCCTGAACCTTGTTTATTTTGATTCAAATGCTGAGTTACTGGTATCCTCATTTTACAGAAAGGACCGAAGCATACATAGGTGATCTAAAATTCATTGTGTGGGGCGCCTGGGTGGCTCAGTTGGTTAAGCAACTGCCTTCGGCTCAGGTCATGATCCTGGAGTCCCGGGATCGAGTCCCGCATCGGGCTCCCTGCTAGGCAGGGAGTCTGCTTCTCCCTCTGACCCTCTTCCCTCTCGTGCTCTCCATCTCTCATTCTCTCTCTCTCAAATAAATAAATAAAATATTAAAAAAAATAAAATAAAATTCATTGTGTGAAAAACCTAGATCTTCTAACACTCCAGTGCTGAATTTTCATTACTGTTCAGCTAAATTACCAAAATGTTATTTCAACCTTACACAATCAACAGTGAACTAAAAGGAATTAGAAAAGTCCTTTCTTTTTTTTCCCCACTTAGCCAGTCCTCAGTTTCTTCATAGCGAGCCCCATGTATTAAAAATGTAATACATTTATTCTCATTAACATAATACTGAATGTTGGGGCGGTGCCATGGCCAGAATAATCCCCAAATTTGCATATCAACAGGAAATGCAAGTCAAACTTATGCGTGATCTTAACACTTCTATTTAAACTTTTCAAGCTACATTTTGTTTTCCAATTTGCACAAAAATTTTAAACAGGAAAAGTTCTTTTGGAAGGTAATAGAATATCCCTGCAGTTCATGAATATCCTATTACCAGTAGAAAATAAGGCAGTCTGGTTTGTGTATAGTGCCTCTAAACTTATAGCTGAAAGTTGAAAATAAAGGTGATTCATTTAAATAATCTTTTAAAAAATAAAGATTTGTTAATGAAAAAATTTTAGGCTATTCTGTTATAAGCATATATCATAGTTTTAGTCCTGTCTTGTTGCTGGAAGAAAAACCCTACAGGAAGCCAATTCAAAGATCCACTCTTGATAAGGGTATTTTACGGGAAAAAAAGAGTGGATATATAGTATACAGCAAAGGAAAAATGGCATGGTTAGTTATCTGTAGACTGTCTTTCAGCTGATAGTCAAGTATGTTTCCCACAAGAAATCTAATCTCATAAAATTTACCAGAAATTTAAGGGTTTTATCAAATATGCTAAATCCCTTCCCAGAAGGAGGTTATGCTAGTTTGGAGAAGATTTCTCTTTTGAGGGATCTAATAAAGAGCCCCCAGGTGATGAAACTCAGAAAACTGAGATTTACAAAGGTTGTCCAAGGTCATGCCATTTGGGGAGTTGCAGAAATGGAGGAAAAAGTAGTCCTCCTGGGTACCATGCGTAAGTTATTAAGAATGGAATGCATTGGTTCTGGCGAGTTGCAGAATAGATCCTTAAAAGCTGTCCTTAATATGCAACACTTATAAATGCTTGATAAAAGTCTTTTTTTAAAGGCCCTTTAAATGCACCACTGAGCCAGCAAGAAAGTGAAGGAAAAGCCAAAATCCTAAAGAGCCAGGAATTCAGAAAGCCTTGTAAGTACTGAAGATGGCGTTGCCCTGGGGGCATCTCCTTATCTTTGTAGGCCTCACCAAACCTAGAGCTGTAATTTTAACAGGACTTAGAAGTGCCAGGGACAACTAACAGAGCAAGGTGAAAAGTCAGGTCACAGACTCCTACCTAACGCTGCGGCCACTGAAAAGAAACATCTGTAGTGCAAAGGTGAACTAGAAAAAAGAAAAACAAAACTCAAACCTTATTCCCACCCCCTCCCTCACCTGCCCACCCCAAACATAAATATGTTTGCTTTTTTCAGCTTGACTCAGGTAGGTATATTTATGCCAAAAACTTCTGGTGAAAATTCATAATCAGGCCAGACTTCAGATGGAGAGTAGGGCTAGGATTTATACTAATTATGTGGCTTGAAAATTCCCAAGTTAAAAATCTATAACAAAGCAGTTCCAGCTAGACTATGCCAAACAAAAATTGAGAGAATTATTATTACTTTACTCTCACTAAAGGAACTTACTGAGGATGAATTTATGAAACAAAATGATACTGAAGTAGGGAAGCTGAAGGCACTCCATTTTAGAAAGGCTCCATCTCTGCTGTTGGTCTGCTAGGCCCCATTTACTCAAGTTCTATATTTTGCCTCTGAATAAGTCAAAGAAGCTATGTTCCCACTTCAAGGGAACGCAAGAAAGTGAATTGTTCTCTGAATTTTGTCCTAGGCCCCAAACACCTGACAACGCCTAAGACGAGCCAGATCCCAAACATTTTCCAGGACATTAGCTTCAAACAAATCTCAGCTGACGCCTGGTGGCATCAATACCACTACCTTCAGTAATTTATGGAATAACACCTACTGTTCACCTGACACTCACCTTTGATTGGACCCAACCACGGATTCCTGAAGAAACACGTACCCTAGATCCTTTTCCAATATAAACGCCTAGCCCCAAGCAATGATGCGACTCATTCTCCTTTCCTTTCCAAGTCTCCCAGACGTTCCATCTACTGCTATTCTCTGCCAGTCACCCTATTCAATAAACTGTTTTCACTTTCTCCAGCTCACATTTGATTTCTATCCTGTGTGAAGCCAAAGACCCTCTTGATACGTCCTGTGGGACCCTCCCCTGGGTTCCTGGAGTCAGCCTGCCTGAGTTAGTCTAGATAGATCAGATATTAAAGAAGTTTGCTTAGATTTACCTATGTTGTTACTATATTCTTTGCTAAAGAATTTTTTGCTGAAGAATTTACCTATGTTGTTACTACACACTAGTAACAACATAGGTAAATCTAAGCAAACATTGACTGAAAAAAAAAGTCTGGGCATACAGACGGCCAACAGACATATGAAAAGATGCTCAGCATCACTCATCATCAGGGAAATACAAATCAAAACTACAATGAGATAAATACCCAGGAGTGCAATTGCTGGGTCATAAGGGAGCTCTATTTTCAACTTTTTGAGAAACCTCCATACTGTTTTCCAGGCTGGCTGCACCTACTTGCATTCCCACCAAAGAATGTAGGTGGGTTCCCTCTCTGGGTATTTACCCCAAAGATACAAAGGTAGTGCTCTGAAGGGGCACCTGCCAATGTTTATGGCAACAATGTCCACAATAGCCAAACTATGGAAAGAACCCAGATGTCCATCAACAGATGAATGAATAAAGAAGAAGTGGTATACAATGGAATATTATGCAGCCATCAAAAAATGAAATCTTGCCAATTGCAATGACATGGATGGAACCACAGGGTATTATGCTAAGTGAAATAAGTCAATTAGAGAAAGACAATTATCATATGATCTCACTGATATGTGGAATTTGAGAAACAAGGCATAGGATTATAGGGGAAGAGAGAAAAAAATGAAACAAGGTGAAACCAGAGAG